CATAGATATCACCATGAAACTTCACCACTTCATCACTCACATTAAGAGGAGTATTTATTTTATTACAAGTTTTCTGAAACGTTATGTTTAAATATTCAAATGAGGCGTTATGTAATGGTAACTTTTGGTGAATTTGAAAGACGACGTGTTATGGAGGAAAGAGAGACTTAAATATCTTAACTCTTAAATTGTATAATCCCGATAAACCCATAGATTTAAAACTTGTGTTTTGTTTTCCAAGATTTTCCTGCATTGCATTGTGGGACAATATGAAGATAAAAACAGTTATTATATGTTAACACCAACACGTCTCATGTACGGCTGCCGGTGCCTCATGGGAGTTGTAGTCGTTGAGCAGGAACATGTACCGTCATCATTCAGACGACAACGAGCTGCAGCAGCTCTCACTTCAGTAGTTTCTCCAATTATTGAAAAAAGTTGTTTAACCTCGCTGCGTTTGTTCTTGTTGGAACTACACGTTCCCTCATCACTAAACAATCAATATCTAACGGGATGACTGAGGTTTTAATTAACTCTCTCCAGAGTTTTAAGATGCGTGCGTGCGTGTGTGTGTGTGTGTGTGTGTGTGTGTGTGTGTGTTCTACAGTAGATGGATCAATACAGAAGAGGAACTTTATAACTTGAAAGTCAAAAGCATGTTATCTCTGCAGCTCATCACCTTTGAAGTGAAGTTGTGTTGCGGTTAAATCTAATAGTTCTATTTATATTCTCTTTTTTCACTGATTGAACCGCTTTTAATGTTACATTTTATATAATATTATAATACTATTTTGTAACATTGTGCTGCACTCTGAGGGAGTGTTATAGACTATAACAGTTAAATATATATATATATTATGAGATAAATTTAAGACTTTAACAACTTCAAATAATTCTGACTGTAACTGAAATATAATCAAATAAAAGTCAAAGAAGGGAACCAAACAGAAATGATGATAGAGGACGAGGAAATGAAAGGAAAGGGAGGATTGAAAAACAAACAACCTGATCCTCAAACTTAAAGAGAAGTGAAGGGACAAGTAAGAATGATACAAAGAAGTAAGAGAAAACAAGAAGGAAGGAGAGGAAGGAAGGAAGGAAAGAGAAAGAGACGAGGGATAAACGTAAAGAGATCAATGATGGAGAAATCTAATCAAATGTATTAAAATAATAAAACAATGACATCCACATTCATACAATCAAAAGAAAACAAAAGCAAAGCGTTCCCAGATGGAGGGAGTGGATTTTGTCTGATCTCTTTAATCTCTGATCTGTTCTCACTGCTTCATCAGAAGGAAGATTATTTAAAAGATCTATTGTCAGACATATAATATGAATAAGTATGTTTTCTTCGTGTGAGATCACCTGAAACTAAGAATCTTTAGCTCAGAGTGAGATGTTTGTATCCGTGTTCCTACCGTAGCCCAGAAGGGACAAACCAAGCTGCTTTGATAACACGGGGATGACATCATAGGAAACCTCTTTTCATTGTATTTATGCACAAACTGAAAATTCCTCTTTACGTCCTCTCTGATGAACCGACTCTCTTCTGTCCGGCTGCAACTCCCTTAATCACACAAATTCGCCGCCATTCGAGTTTTCACGTTGCCGTGTCGGTTCTTCGTCCACTCTTAACTCGCCGTAGAAGTTACTGTTGATGTTCTCCATCCTCCTCTGATGAAGACGAGCTGGGCCTTTAAACAGAATACCAGCCGAACATACAGGTTTTTAATAACACATGCATGTGAATTATTTTTATTTATGCTCCGTTTAAAAGCATTCATAACAATTCTGATGATTTTGCAGCTTCTAGGTGCGCGCACACACACACACACACACACACACACACACACACACACACACAGTGATGAAGATTTAATCATATGACTTCTCATTCTGAGTTATGAGTCCACACATGTTACATAATAGCTATTAGGAGAACACACACACACACTTAATGAAGACCTCCCAGTTATTAACCCTCTCTCACACACACACACACACACACACACACACACACGCAGTAGCGTGAAGGCGAGCTATTATAAACATACATCATTAAGCATGTTAGATCCTCCCGTGTGCTCTAAAGTGCTGACAAACACAGTTTTCACCAACATCTATCTAAATGAAGACGATCCGATGTGAGCGGTCCGCTCCAGAGAAGCAAGATGAAGAAGCTGTGAACACACAACAACGAGCAGCTGATTGTATCAGTGAGGACTAAACCACTGCCCTTAAAACAGCCTTTGTTCTACCAATGAAATGAAGTTCTGGGCTCCTCGTTCTTTCTACTGAAGTCCAGCAACACGTGAACATTTCTGCTCATTACATGAACACAGTCTTTTCAAAATAAAGTTCCGTCTTCACATGAAATAACTTAGTTAGGTTTCAGATGTTGGTTTGGGTTAAAATAACTGAAGTACAGAAGTTTCGTGACAAAAACATCTCCGTTGACAAACATCGACCTCCTGGAGGACTCATCCACCTCTCCTCCTGCTCTGTGTGGGCCTTTTCTGTCTTTATACTTCCTGTTTCATGATTACATGTGATTGGACTTCATGGGGTGTCTCTGGATTACAGTGCATTCCTTTCTGTAGGTGTAGCTACAACAGCATGAGAACAGTGTTTGACAAAGGACTCAAATCTCAGTGAAGTCATTGGTGTTAAAGTCTTAAAGTAAAGTCTTTTTTTGTCATTTTGT